ACCGCCCCTGTTGACGGCCATGGTGAGCAACTCCTTCCTGTTGTCTGTCTTCTTGACCATCTCGGCCTTTCTCTTTGCGTTATTTGTTGTAAAGTTGTTCAGGCCGTCTGTGTATGTTGTTCTGTGTCCTGAGCTGTTTCACTGTAGTTAATCAACAAATGCACCCATACCCGATAGCTACATGTCCTGTGATGACTGTGTAAGTGGTTATGTATCAACCTCGTCGTTCCCTTGTTTTAGGAAAAATCCCATGATTGTGTAATCAAGAGGCTACGGTGGCCCGCTTAGAATACTCATTGCGCAATAGATTTCTTATATGGAACTGGGGAATTAAAAGAAACGCAAATAAAACCTTCCTCCCCCCTCCGACCCGACCACCCCCTTCCCAAAAATAAAATCACCCAATTCCCCCGACAGACACACCTTGTCTGCATCGATCGGCCTAGAGCCTGTGTCAAGTACCATGGTCCGTTTCTGATATCTTTCAACACTGTTCTTTGGCTGTTCCAGTGACATCTGGGAGCACAAGCAAACACAAAAGCTAAGTTTAACGTCTGTGTCGCCATATTCCCCTGTGTCGCAATAACCCAGTTGTATGGACTAACTTGGTTACAGGTACGCCTATATATTATAAAATACGTGAATACATTCTCTCATATGATCATAGATACTGAGTCACAAGAAGTAGTCGTTCATTTAAATTCTGTTTGTATTCAAAGTAGAAATCTCACTGGGAAGTTTGTAGTACTTTAACTTTAGGCTCTATATGAGGAAAGGTAATCATTCTAATTGTTGTTGCATTAAGGAAAATAATGAATGTAATGTTAAATATTGTTATTTCCCTTGTAAATATTATTATCATTGTCATTATTTTGATTAGTGTTATTATCATCACTATTATTATTATTATTATTATTATTATTATTATTATTATTATTATTTATCATTATTACTCTTGTTATTACAATTATTGTTATTATTATTATTTCGTATTATTATTATTATTATTATTATTTTTTTGTTATTATTATTATTATTATTATTATTATTATTATTATTATTATTATTATTATTATTATTATTACACTGACCAACAAAATTTAACTTTTTCTGCTGCGTGAAGGTCGCTGAAATACAAAATGACATCAGTTGCGTTCTAACACGTCAAGACTTTTTCTTAATGGCCTAATCACTGTTTTTGCTGTGTACAGTTTAATTAGCTATAATAATAATTCATGCAATGGGAACAATATTAAGCAATAGTACACGCATTTAAATAGAAGAGAACATATTCATGACAGAAACTTTCTTTTACGAAATTGTCTGGAATCCGTTATCTTTGGACATTCTCCTTGGATGCTTTAAGGACTGGTGGGGCACCTGAAGTCTATTTTGGCTGTTACAAGGCCTAGAGTGCCGATATTTGCTGTGGGACATCGTGTGTTATTGGGGATTTTAAATCATTAGTTAAAAAAGTATATTGTGAGTTGGTTGCTATGGAAACGGCGGCCATATTGGATTTTGTATACCTTTTTCAATCCCATTTTATTTCCTTATTTATTAACCGATTCACTTCTAATTTGGCATGCCAACAGTACATATGTAGCTCTTAAATTTGGCTTGTTGAATTTTTGATATATTATGGTTTAGTTTTTATTCTATGACATTTACAATTGAGATGTTGCAAAAAAAGTGAAAAAAAAAGGAAAATTCATGCTTTCTAAGCCAATAAATCAAAAACTACTACATTAATCAAATATTCAACAAGCCAAAATTGAGCACTAGGTGTTGTTGGTATCCTGTGAGAATTACATTAAAATTGAATAAGAAACAGAGCAGAAAAATGGGATAATATGTGAAAAAATAGAATTGTGAGAAAACAGCCGATACAGGTAAGAAAAGGCTAGACAACATGTGCTTTCGCCGAAAAACCTGGCAAAAAAACACAGCTTTAGGGTGTAGCAAGGCTTACATACGTTTCTGGATATTGTTCAGGAAGTGTCCAGGTACTGTAATATGTAATAAACCCAATCTACAAAATTTGACCCCCGAACACGATTTCTAGGTGCCCCACCAGCCCTTAACAGTAATCTACCATCGTGTTGGTGCCCCATAGGTCTTAGTACTTTTCCTTTTTGAAATCTTTCACCTTATTAATTACTAACTTCACCAAAGTCTTGAAGAAATTCATCTAATAAATGACTAACAAAAATTAACCTTCTTTCTCGTATTGTAGCCCACAAGATGAATGATTTATACTACAGTTTTGACCACGTTCTGGAAATATTCTACTCTTCTGTCGCCCAAAAAGTTTCTCCAAAGACGCAAACGATTCTCAGGCTCCTATCTCTATATTATGTCCCTAATCGAGTCTGTGATTAGCTTTCTGATTTGGGGGAGACCAAGACACTAGCCCTTATTTACTCATAACTGAGATTACGAAAACCTGTACATATCTGTCGGCAACAGGCCCTCTCAATATCCAGGCTTTCATGAATTGTTTCATCAAGCCTAATTTGATATGAACGGAAGGAAAGATGACTTTTTCCCTCAACACAAGTGGTTTATTGCTAATATTTTTCTCTCCAACTGTTTGAGCTGTCCTTACTAATCTAATCTTTTCCTCCCATTGTTTTTCCTTTGATTATCTCTCGTACAAAAAGATCATGGGTACTTTGTATAACACCCTGTTGGTAAAGTAAGAAGCTGACCATTTTCATATAATCACAAATCTTTTAGTCGTTCTCCCCGTATTAAAGTCAGTCCTGCGCTATTTTTATGTGTCTGTATTCTTCTCGAAGTACAACGGAGTAAACAATGGGAACGGACCCAAATGAATTTCCGTCATGATGTAGCACACACTCCAGACTTCTTGTTTAACTGCGTATGAAAAGTCTCCACTCATTCGGCTTGCAGTCACATACATCTAATGCATTCTACAAATCTGATACGTCGTCACAGAAGACAGAGTCCTTTTACTACAAAGTACAAAAGTTTTTAGTACAATATTTCCTTTTTCCTTCTATGGTACAACTGTCTGAACATCATCTTTTAACAGGTTTTTTTGGGTTGCTTTCGGTCTTGAAATCAAACTTTCTGATAAACGTTATTAGTTACTCGTTTCTAGACGAGTAAAACAAGTGAAATTTGCCATCGATTTGTGTTTTTTTTTAAAGTATTTTTTTATCCTAAAGAGTATCATTTTTACAAAATCTCCAAACACTGTTTTTACGACGAAAAGGGGTATTAAGG